TTAATATTATCAATTATAGTTTCCTGTTTAATAGCATCAACATTTATATAATCTGTAGTTGAATTTTTAGTGATATTTTCTGATATTTCATATTTTTCTGTAAGAAATCTTCCTACTGCTATAATTGTTTCTGTTGCTGCTTTAAATATTGCTCTTAATGCTTCATTAGGCCTTGCTTCTTCCTTATTTATCTCATTATCATTTTCTTCTTCCGTATCATCGCCACTTTCTGATTCCATAGACTTTTCTCCCTCAATTGTCACTACTTCTACATCACTATTATCACCACTTTCTGATCCCATAGACTTTACTTTCTTATTTGTCTCTGCATCATTATCTTTCTCAATTGTTATTGTTGTATATTCATCGTTTGTCATTTTTATAAAAGAATTGATTAAAAAAAAAATTTTTTTTTTAATAAGTATATTCGACTTTTATAAATAAAATAAATTGACAATAAACACTTGTTCTTATATAAATTTTTTTTTTTTTTTTTTTGGCGATAATCAATGAGCTTTTTGCATTGCATTCAAAAAATAACGCCACAAATAATTAAGAAATAAATATGTGCATACAGCTGTTGAATTTTATTAATCGTGTAGTTATCCACAAAAAATACTCGCAAATTTTGTAAAATCTCGGAATAAAAATCCGCAAAAATCATCCGCAATTTTGCGCAACATCATGAGAATATCTCCTTATTTAGAAATTGAATTGGCGATTGCGGATGATTTTTGCGGAAAAATACATGATTATTTTGTACATCTTCCTATCTGATGTGTGGACACGAATTCATATTCCATAATAATAACAATACTAAAATGATATCAAGTCATTCCAAACAAGTATTCTTTATTATTATGGTAAAACAAAGGGAGTCGTATGTTGTAAATATATATGTTTTTCACGTTTAAGTATAAAAAATAAGAAAAAAATAGATTGATAATTGTACATAACTATTATTACGCCAAATCTTTGCAATTCCGAATTCAATATTTACAATGATATTTATTGACGGTGATGTGGACAGTATGATCGATCCTTTTTTAATATACGTGGGTTGTACAAAAAGTTTTGAGAAAATACATGTAACTTGATGATCTTTTCTTTAATAAAAGTAAAAATGGGAATAAAAAACAATCTTTTAAATAAAAAAAAATAAAATTTTAAAGTTTGCCAGTAGAAACAAATGGAAAATTCAAAACGTGAATACCAAAGATACTACATTTTTGTTAGCTGGAAAAATAGCAAACCAGCTAAACAAATTCAACAGGAATTACAGGTTGCTGAGGGTCTAATGCAGCATCTTTAGCATCTATTTATCATTGGATTGAAGCATTTGAAAGTGGAAAAAACAATGTTGAAGATGATTCACGTTCTGGACGTCCTCAAGAAACTTCCACCCTTGAAAACATTGCAAAAGTTGATGATTTAATTAGTGATGATCCTCATATGACAATTACAGCTATTGAAGAGAATGTAGGTATTTCTAGAGGAAGTATTCAAAGTATTTTACATAATGAATTAAAAGTTCATAAAATTTGTAAAAAATGGGTCTCACATGTTTTAACTGTTGAAAATAAAAAAAATCAGGTTGAAATTTCTAAGCAATTGTTAGGAATCCTTGATAATGGACTTAATAATATTATCACAGGTGATGAAACTTGGTTTCATTTTTATACTGTACCAAGTAAAGAATCAAATAAAACATGGGTTAAAAGTGGGGAAAATTGGCTGCAAATGCCAGAACTGCACAAAATGCTAAAAAAAGGATGTTTTGTGTTTTTTTTCTCAATAGAAGGTGTTGTGGCAAGAATTGTTGTACCAAAAGGTCAGACTGTAAATGGCACATTTTATAGAACAAATGTATTGCCTATTGTATTTTCAAAATATAAAGAATTAAAAAATAGAAAAACAGTAAGAAATGTGATGATGCATCATGACAATGCTGCTCCACACAAATCAAAAATTGTAACAGAGTATTTAGAAGAGGAAAAAATTATTTTACTCCCCCACCCTCCATATAGCCCAGATTTAGCTCCTTGTGACTTTTTTCTATTTCCTAGAATTAAAAAAGAGCTAAAAAATCAGCATTTTGACCATATTGAAAATCTTGCATGTGCAATTCAAGCAATCACAGATGGCATCACAAAAGAGGACTATCAGAAATCATTTGAAAATTGGAAAAATAGGCTACAAAAATGCATAGATAATGATGGAAACTATTTTGAAGGAATGCATTAATTTATTTTAGCTTTTTTCAACCTTTTAGATAACAAATGTACAAGGCTTGTTTTTGTTGATAATTTTTGAAATTCAATATCTCAATAACTAACTGGTAAAAGAAAGTAACCTTTTTTTTATTTGAAAGATGAGAAGAATGTTACTTATATAAAAGAATTTCAAATTTATTACACTTAAAATCATCAAGTTATGTACCTTATGACAAAAAATTTCCAGTTGTTTTTGTTGTTAATCTTTAAAAATTAATATCTCAATAATTAGCAACCAAAAAGTATTTGCCTTTTTTATTTGAAAGATGGGAACTCTGTCTTTTATTTAAAAAAATTTCCAAATCAATTGCCTTCAAATTTATAAAGTTACATGCATTTTCTCAAAACTTTTTGTACAACCCACGTACATACACACCCTAGATAAAAGTTTTCGGACACCTGTTTTTACTGATTGCGCAAAACTACAATAACTATTACTATACATAAAATTTTATATATATGTAAATTTTGGTAATCTTAACGTCTAGAAAAATTCTAATTAAAAAAATCCGAAACTCAACGAAAATCGCGACATCATTTTTTGTTTCTCGAATTTACCCAAAATCCTACATAATAAAAATAAAAATTTATGTCAATTTGTAGCTTAGATTATCTTAGCTTAGGTTTGGTAAATATATATTAATATGTAAATTTTGGTAATCTTAAAATGTCTAGAAAAATTCTAATTAAAAAAATCCGAAACTCAACGAAAATCGCGACATCATTTTTTGTTTCTCGAATTTACCCAAAATCCTACATAATAAAAATAAAAATTTATGTCAATTTGTAGCTTAGATTATCTAGAATATGAATGCAATTTTGGCTAGCATAAATAATTTATAAATAAAATTAAAAAAATTAGTAAATAAAGTCGCATTTATAAAAATCAAAATTTTTAAAAATGTAAAAATGCCAAAAAACGAAGAGAAAAAATTTTGAGCCTTCATGAAAGTACCTAATTTGGTCTTCACAATCTTAAACCAATTGAACATCTTTGAAGTGAACTAGGGAGACGATTAGATAAGCGAACACAATACACAAAAAATGCCAATGAATTGGAAGCTGCTTTACAAGAAGTGTGGCCAAGAACTCCATACAAATCTTACTATAAATTAATAGAAAGAATATCTAAAAGAAGAATTGAGGCATGCATTTCTAGTGGTGGATGGCCAACTCGATAATAATATTAAACTTTTTCATTTTTTTTTTATCAGTTATTTATTTGTTTTTGATACAAATCAATATTTTGTTGATCATAATCATTGAGTTTTGATCTTTTAATTAGAATTTTCTACATTTTAAAATTACCAAAATTTACATATATATTCATCAAACCCTAAGCTTTCAGGGATTCTCCAAACCGAATGGTAAAACAAATTTTTTATGCATGCATAAAAATAATGTTCGGATATTTTAATTCAAAATTGTAAATTTCCCTTAATAAGTGCTTTGTTTTAAATAATCAACGTATCACAAAACTTTTTAATTTTCAACTTGTGTGAATATTATAATATATATATATATGTAATATATGCATGTTTGGTGACGATCTCTTTATTTTATCAACTTATTATTATCATATCCCGTTTGTCACCGAAATGTTACGGGATTATTCATTTTATCATTATTAGTTGATAAGAATAACTTATTGTTTTTAGTAAATAAAATGAATCTAGAATGATTTATATATATAATATGTATAATAATATATACCCAAGTGAGAGTGGAGTGATATTATTATTGCAAATAATAAAAACTATTTTTTTACTAATAACAAATAGTGTTTATTTATGGAAAGATAATTCTTTGATTTTTTAAGGAATATAGACAGACACACACACACACACATATATATACGGTTATTTACTCGAATTCTCGACATAATACATACACACATACAAACAAGTGTTAACAACCACGGCCAACCCTCCAATGAATCCAAAATTGACAAAAATCTGATATAGTGGCGATCATCTAAAGACATCATCAAATGTTGCCGATCTTTAAGTGCTGATACTTTATTAAATATGGACTATTTTACCAAAAACTCTCTATTTTTGCAATATTCTAGACATGAAAAATAATGTAATAGAAAGTTTTTTTTTGAGTTATTTAATTTAAAAAAAAGTTATAATGGTTTAAAGTTGGGTAACTTTGCTATTTTATTTAAAATTTCGGCAACTATATATCTAAACTGCAATTTACAGATTATTTTCACAATTTTACCAATTATTCACGTGACAAAGTCACAGTTCTTTTACAGATTTGGATTTATTGGATTCTTTATAAAGCAAGATCACCATAAAAATTTTTGGTAAGTGATGCAGCACGTAATGTCTTTAGATGATTCGCACCATAGTGGTTATATAGCCTTTTTATCCAATGAATCAAAATAAGGTTTGCTACTGCATAGTAGTTAAATAAATAAGAAAATAATTCTCTAATTTTGGAGTTGGTCAAATTGTCAATAAATATCAATAAAATAAGTCTGAGAGAACTTTTCATATTACTCAATATGAACAATTATTTTCTCATAAAATTCATATGTGGAAAAACACTTATTTTCACCCCTTCCATTTGCAACAATTAAAAATATGTCTTGTTCAAATTTAAAGAGAGCTTGGAATGCAAGTTCTTTCTTGAGATTTCTTAAAGAGCAACCACATTTACAACCTCTTTCTAAAAATCAATTGCTTTTTGATATTTATTATCTTCATATAAAAATAGTTAATTAACCTTTTATTTTGCACATATAGAAAAATAATTAATCAAGTCTCTACTTTTTTTTTGTTTCTAATTGGTTATTGAATTCTACATCATAGAAAACATACATCAAAATGCCATTAAAAAATTATTTTGCTATATACATAATATAAACTTGTGCAACTAAAATAATGTTTAATGAAAAATATTTTTATTATTTAATTTCCCTTTTCTTCAATATTTCTCATCATAAACAAGGGGTTGCATATGATGGATAATCTTTCTTCTATCTTCTTCATTTTCAATCAATTTCATCAAATTACAAATGCCATTCATAAATTATTCAATAATCTTTGAAGTTCAAATTTTTCATCATCTCAAATACAGACAATTATATAACT